GCATTAATATCCTGAGTCCTAAACCAGGTCTTGTTTTCTGTGTGCGACATCTCTTGGTGCATTAAAAGCAGTAAGTTAGGCTTGATCCATGATGCTTTTGCTGTCCACATAGCAAAGCCTTCTTGCAGTCCAGAAGTGCCTGGTCTGAGCCTGAGAAGGGATTGGGTCACAGTCCAGACCCGCATAACTTTTGGGGCAATCATTAAAAAATGACCTACAAACAATTTAATGTGAACCGAAAAAAGACATTATGAATAAAAGCTTGAATTGTATCTGTGTTCTTTATAACAAATGACTATATCTGTATTTTTCAAAAGCAAAATGACAATGGGTATGACCTTATGCCCCCCTCCCTCCCATGGACCACCTCCTTGTTCAGATACGTTCCGTGGTCCGTGGTCACAGTTCATGTGCCAGTCATCTTTGGGTAGGCCTTTCTGTCATTGGCTGGGCAGCCTTGTCTTCCCCCGTGATGCCGCCCTTGGTCTCCCCCCATCTGACTGATGCCTGAGGAGAGTCTCCAGCTTGGAGCTGGCCTTCTCAGACGCCACTCACAGACACAGCATTAATCCAGTCCGGCTCCGTATTTGTTGTGCAGCGAGTGGAAAGTGCTTCCCGACACCGGCACCCAGTGGATCTGAGAACACCGGCATTATCCCCATGTTGGCACAGATTATCCACCTGCCAGGGTCTCAGAGAACCGAAGCGGGGTCCGTCTCCACCGCATAACGTTGTCAGGAAGGAATCTGCAGGGCCAACATGTTCTAGACAGTGTGAACGGCACCCGAGCCACCAGGCGGAACACCCCATCTCACTGTCATCATTTTATGCTGAATCCATGTCAGAACTCGTGCTTTTTAAAGCCATAAAAGTGAACTAAAAACACGTTAATGACTTTAAAACACGTGGGCTAGTTTCTTTGTGTACATTGTACAGCATGGCTTTGCCATAATGGTCGAAATGGTTTAATTGCCTTTCCGGGTGGGATTTCATGCATTTACAGGTTGACGCATTTGTACAGTCAGGTGGCCAATTTTCTGAAGCCGTCCAGGTTAAGTGCTTTTCTCAGTATGACAGCAGACGCCCCCCTGGAACTCGGTCCTGCTTCCGTCCAATCACTTGCTCTCGTCCAATCTCTTATAGACATACTGGCCTCCTGTGACGTCAAACCAGGGCGGGTGTTTATAGTCCCCCCCACAGCCATGCCTTGTGTGGGACTTCAGCACACTGCGCACTGTAGCTACACTGGGACCCAGGACCCTGTCAGGGTTGCCTCCATTAAGAATTCCTCTGATATGAACCCAGACATTGTCTGATACCTACTCCACCATCTCCACGACAATCCCATCTGGCATCCTACAAGCCGCTCATCGCATTCTACGGCCTTCATACACAGCGAGCCCTGAAGACGAGGTGCTGGAAGTGGATGTGAGGGATTTGCTGTCTAACCCCTGAGGAGAAGATTTTCCCAGGACTGCTGCATGAAATGTATTTCAAATTAGGCTCCTTAACGGCATGTTTGAGGCACATAAATGAAGGTACAAGAGCAGGACCCGCTATTTTGCGACTCAAACTGACCCCCATTTGCCTAAAAGCCAGGGTCTTTAAATACTCCACACAAAAAGACTATAGTCTATTTCCCATGATGCTCTGGCAGAGACGCGCAGTAGTTGCTGATGCTGCACACAGGCTCTAGCACTGAGCTCCACTAGGACAGAACGTGACTCTCTGCAGATGAAAGTGTTTGAAAACACAAATTAAATAAATAAGTCTGTAAAACTTCATGTTTACCTGTGTTTTTCACGCTCAGCCAGATCCATTAAGAGGAAAATGCCCCTTTCTGTAAAAGGCCCCTTTCTCTAGGGTTTACACCGGTATTTCATAAGAACTGCATCGCACTTTGTTTCCATGAACACGACCCACATTCCTCGCCTGTTCTGGAACATTCTGCCAATCATCAATTATTTAGTCTTTTTTTATTGAAGTACAGTTTTAGTCACTAGCAAACAGCTTGAGGGAAAGAAGTGTTTAATCATGTATGTCTACAAGTTGTGACACTTCGTTTTAAGGGTTTTTCCTTCACTGTGAGATACTCATAAGGATGTGTTTGCATTGAACCCATGTTCGAATTCAGGGGGCAGGAGTGTCAGCAGGCCACGCAGTAAGAGGGGTGCCTTATGGGATGTTTATCAGGATGATAAACAAACAATCGCCCGGCCTGCATTCGTCTGCGGATCACCCTGACACCCCTGGATTTATTTCCGGCCGATAATGCCAGTTTTGGTGCCGATTATCCCGGCTCCCGCTCCTGCTTGCATGGCGACGCATGTCCACGGAACCTGCCTCATCGATCTTTCTGACAGTAACAAACAAGCCGTTGAAACCGAGTGGCAGCGGAAACGGACCATCAACCTGAAGCGCTTGGGGGCCACTGCTCTGGTGCAGGGTCTTTATTAGGGGTCGTATTTAAGGGCCCGTCAGGAGCCGGACATGGCTGTGCTTCCTGATATCGCCCTCACAGGCGCGGCTCTGTGGGACAAAGCTGGGTCGGGGTCACAGTGACAGCAGCAGGTGTTAGGGGTGAAGGGACAGCTTTGTGCGACAGGGGATTTGCAAAGCAGGGTTGAGGTCTGCAGTGTGTGTGTGTGTGTGTGTGTGTGCTTCTAGGTTTGTGCCTGTGTATGTGCATTTATGCTTCAATGTAAGTTCTGAGACATCTATACTAACTTATGAAAGACTTCCAAACATTGTATTCTGCTTTGATAGGGAAAGTTTCATGTAATTTTGAAATTGTTTTTCATTTATTGGGTTGGAGTTAGGAATCATTAACTCCGTTAATGTAAGAGTCAGTTGGGAGATGTCACCACAGAGATATAAAATTGGGTGTGCGTCTGTGTGTGTGCAGGAGTGTTTCTTGTAACTGTTGCATTTTGGGCACCAGATTTCCCCACAATGTGATAAAAACTTTTTACCTTGTAGGGACATTTTTTCAGTCCCCACAAAGATGACATCAATTTTATAAGAATCTGCCCATGCAATCATAAAACTAAAAATGTATTACATTTTGTTTGCTTACTTATGGTTAAGGTTAGGGCTGTGTAGGGGTTAAGGGTGTCATTGTTGGGATTATGGTTCTTTCCATAGAAATAAATGGGCGGTCCCCACAAAGATATGAATGCAAATGTGTGTGTGTGTGTGTGTGTGTGTGTGTGTGTGTGTCAGTCAGTGGGGGAAGAAGCTCAGTTTTCTCCCTACTGATGATGGGCCAAACATACTGAATGCTTGTTAGAATAAATTCTGTTTGAAATTGCTTTTGGAAATAGGTTTTCTGTTTTATTTTTAGGTTGATCAAAAACATGTTTGTAAACCCCAAATGTATACTTGGCCTGTACTCAAAGCCCTACCACCCATCAGTTAAATGACTTGGCTGTTATGCTGTCAAATCACTACACCACTTGATCATTAAACTCAGGGAAAGTTTTTAGTTGGACATGCTAAGCACACACTAGGATGTTGGGTCAGCCAAATACCCTTCAGCTGCCTTCCAGAAAAACAGGCCAAATTTAAATCACAGTTTAAAAGACCCTGAGAAGTATGACTTGTCTTCGGCATCATGATAGCTGTGTGGTCACAATATTACTGAAAAATTGCAGTACACATATCCTGTGGTTAAACAGGCATATCCCTGGTGCTCTGCACATCCTCTACATTCATCAGAAGGAACCCTGGAAGCAAGGTGTCAACAGAACAAGCCAGCTGTGGGCAGACAGGGGGTGGACAGTCTCTCCATCTGGCAAACCTAACAAAAATGAATGAATCATTCAGAAAAGCATGTTCTTCACTCTTATCCCACCCCTTCCACACACCCAAGGCCTACACTTTGCTCCATCCTGCATTGGGCTTGTGTACATCCAGCGGACCGCACTATCGCCAGCCCCCTCCCTTGTACGCACCCATTACACTATCCCTACGACGGCGGTCACTTACAAGCCTGCTGCCCAAGGAAAACCAGGGCAGACCGGCGACACAGCGCCCTCTATGGCCAGCGCACCGTAAATTGACGCAAGTGACAGTGCCTAACACAAATTGCGGCAGACAGATGTAAGATGTAAAAATTATTTATGTGACGCCGAGCAGAAAGATTAATTACCGGGAGTCCACATGCACGCGCCGCTGTAATTGCTCGTAAATTATTACGGTTCACGGTGACGTGCATGGGAGGCCAGTGAGCCCCCTCTTAGAGGGGGGAAACGTCCGCTTATGGCCCCTGGGGGATGGAAAACCAGCGGCTAGATGATGCCGACGATGGTGCAGGGCTAGTAAGTGATGCAGCAGGAAATGAATTTCACTACATATGTGGGGATTCGTCTCAAGCGAAAGTAACCGGCTGATACTGCCATATTATTTTGGACGTTTGAAATACGGTTGTTAATCTCCCCCCTTCCCCTTTTAAGCCACGGCAAAGCGGGGAGCTTCCGGGGATTCGCTCCCGTGGCAGAGGGGCTTAATTTGCATCCAGCTCTCAACCCAAGACTCAATCTGTCTCGATTATGGCCGTTGGGCCGAAATTAGCTTCCCGTTGCCCACTGCCATCAGAATCAGAAAGATAGTTATTGGCTAAGTATATTAAATATACCTTCTGTCTTATTATAACTTATTATAACATGCAAGACAATTTACAAGCATGTACCCATGAACTTACAAATGACATGTGCTTTTTTACGCTAGACTGTCCACCTACAGTCAGAAGCAAGATGAGAATGGTGAGATAAATATAGTGACCATCAATAAACGGGGGTGATGTGGGTGGGGGGGGGGGGGGGTGACTGGTACCTCCAAGAAGCACATATGCAAGGCCCAGGAACCACAAACATGGATGTCAGAGATAGCGAATGCAGGGCGGAGTGTGAGTGGGCGTGTCAGTGTGCATGTGCCACGCTGGGTTTTGTGCAGCTCGCGTAAAGTAACACAAACACTCCTATGCTGTTCTTCCTCTGCAGTGGACGGCTGCATCGACTGGTCTGTGGACCTGAAGAGGTACCGGGTGCTTGCCGGCGAGCCGGTGAGGGTCAAGTGTGCCTTGTTCTACAGCTACATCCGGACCAACTACACCATGGCCCAAAACAGCAAGCTGAGACTCATCTGGTACAAGAACAAAGGCGACTCGGAGGAGCCCATCATCTTCTCCGGACACCGGCTCAGCAAGGAAGAAGACTCCATCTGGTTCCGTTCGGCCGAGCTGGAGGACAACGGCTTCTACACGTGCGTGTTGAGGTGGGTAACGTTGGGCCCTACTGTCTATTTCCAGTTCATAGATCACTCTCCACTAACCCAATCCAATAAACTGCACTCTCTGGTATTTGAATGTGAACTTCCACAAAATAACGATCTCATCAAGGTCGATTAAAACTCGTTTATTGTGAGGAAGCCGCTCCATGCTTCCCTCGGCATTTCCACGGGCAGGAGCCGCCGTGGAGACGAGATGTCTGAATCCGGGCCCTCTCAGCAGAATTCCTTATCAGGCATCGCCAAAGGGGCCGGTTTGCTTCACCGATCTTATCGCGTTGGGCTGTGCTGGGACGGTTGCATCATTTGACTGACCCCCTGGCCGCTTTTATCGGTTATCTCTGACAGCGGCACCAAAAGGCCGGCTCCGTCCATGCAGATGGGCACCCGGCCTATTCCCGCGTCGCTCTGACGGTCCCAATGCTTCTCCCGGCCAGTAATAAGGCTCCTTAATAAGAGGGACTTCATATTCCCCTCATGCTACAATGGCAGTCTAATTAGGACCCAGTTCCTGTCAGGTTCCCCTTATTATACTGGTTGGCAGAAGGAGGCATGATGCACTGCAGCACGTTAGCAGATAGCCATCAAACCGAGGACAGGCACAGACTAACCGTGTGGTGCCTCAGCTGTCTGTGCTCTGTGCATGCTCTCCTGCTCATCTGCTTTGCAGCTTCGCTCCTGCACACATCCATACAACATCTCTGAAAAAAGGGACCGTGCGTCACCCGAACGGGGAGGAAACATGACTCTTCAGCGTGAAGCATAGAAACAGGGCCGGGATGTTTTAATGAGCTGTGGCTCCGTGACCAAGTCGTGCAAGTGAAGGAACCTCAACGTATCTGGATCATGAACTGCCCCTATGTGGGGGGGCGAGATGCTTGAGGCGTGGAGGGCTATCGGCATTGAAGTCAATGTTATTGCTGGTCATTGTGCTCAAAATGCCTGGGCGAGCTTGGAACTGAGGATCAGGACTTTTGATAACATCTCTCTCCATGATCCTGAGCCCTACAAGGACGATCCCCAGACCCACAAGCTACATCTGCAATCTGCAGTAAGGAGTCGTGACAGCCTGAGTTTTTTTTTTTGTTCCAAGGTAACGCAGCTACTCTCGTATCGTGTGACAAAACAAAAACACTGTCATGGCGAGGGGGGCGTCAGAGGCGTGGATGACGATGTGAGGCTCCCTCAGTTTGGTGTGCTGTGGACGTGTGTAGATCGCTCTGAATCAGTAAACAGCGATCCTTTCATCTGAACTATGCCACGAAAATACTTGTTCTTTTCTTCAAAATGTGGGCTACATCTGTGAACCGCCCTGGAATCTGGAGACTGTGTCCCACCTGCCGCTTCCTTCTCTCCCGTCACTCGCTTGTCAAAGAGCTCGTCTCGGGGTGGTCTCGCCTTTTATCTTTCCGTTAATCTTTTTACGAAAAAGAGGCAGGAAAGGAAAGTCACTAGGGTCCTGCCCGAGAAGCAACTATGCGCTCCAGCGCTGCCCCAACCTGTCAGCTGTGGTTTTGTAGGACAGGCTGACCGAGACCTTTCTAGGACGTCACGCACGGCCACCAGCATGTGCGAAAGCGGCAAGGCGTCGCTGGTTTCGCAGCATTCCGGCGAATTCCAGGACGTCGTCCCTAATTGTGCCACCCGGAGGCTCACAGGTTCCTCTCAGGCTCTATTTGTGAAGGACGTTGGTGTGCACCTTTTTATCAGAAGATACCGCTCCTTTTCAGGAGGTAATTTCATGCTGTTCAGCTAAAGCTTGTCCTCTGTGACAGAAGCTGGGCAGTACACAAATCGATATTTGGGGGAGGCGAGGAGCTGTAGGTCCCACAGGAGCCCAGGCCCAAATGTAGCTAAAATGCCCTGCTTCTAAAGTGGCTGAAGGACCCGCACTGTACATGGTACACAAGGGGTCTCCGCAGAAGAGCTCCAGGATGTTACAAGTGGTCGTTCAGAGAAAACGCCGACGGTGAGATGCCCAGGACACCTGCAGGTTTACACACCTCCCTTGCAATTGAGGTATTTGTTAAACGTCAGATGCTGTACGGGTTTGTTCAACAGTAAACATTTTGCAAAGGCAAATAACACTGCTGTGAACGTGCCTGACATATTAAAATATTACAATCACAGTTGTTGGGAGAAAACAACAAAACTGACCTTATTTGTGTGGAATTTTTTCTGTTTTACAAGATGAAAATACAGCGTAATTAATATATAAATAGCCAATACAGAATAATGATATGGTTGAAGAAAAGCCTGCGTTCTTAGGGCCTTGTTTCCTAAGGTGTTTTTTAGTTGTCAGGGCTACGTTGGATTTGAATCTGTGTGTTTTTTTATTTGACTAGATATTGGCTGCTTTGAAACCCAATAGAAACCAAAGACTAGAATCCCAGCTCAACCAACCCTTCTCCACCGCCATCCCACCCCTTGTTTCCCAGCACCATCCCTCTCTTTTACAGAAGAAATAACATTTTGACTCCCAATGTGGGCTGGATGACCATGCCCTGCCAATCACTGTCTGGTTTAACCCAATGAGGACCAACTAAGTAACCAATAATGCAATACAGACTAAGAATTGAAGCCTAATTTTTCCTGTTGCTTAAACCACTTGGTCCTTGTGGTTTAAAGTTTAGTAAATGTTATAAATTGAGATGTGTGGCTCCCTCTCCAGGTTGGGAGAGGTATGACAGCTCACCCAGTAAAGGTAGGTGTATGTGTGGCAGAAGGCTGCACCCTAGGCGCCCGATTGGTTGGTGACAGGAAGGATCCGCTGCAGGGGGGGGTCTCATTAAGTCACCGTTGGACCCACCTTGCACCTGCCTCTGATATAACCTTCAGCATTAGCAGCGACAATGTGGCCGTGAAGATGCTTCAGCGTCAGCAGCTCCAGGACCTTCTCAGCTGCTCCTATTGTTAGCCCCAATACCAGGAGCCACAAAAACTTCAACCGTGGCGCCCATCTGACCTTGAGCATAACACACAGCCATTTCTGGGGGCGGGGGGTGGGTCTGGCCGACAATACTGCTTTTATTGCTGTCGCATAAAGAGCTTTACTGAGATTCTTGACATAATAATCTGTCCTTGTGAGCTGATCACAAATCGTCCTTGCAGGCAAATCGGGGGACACCTCAAACTGGGGTCCTGAGAAGACTAGCCTGTAATTGGTTTCAACTGCGACAGTTTAGATTGCATCCACTTGTCCTCATAAATGGGATGACATCCAACTCTTATGAAGCTTCATTTCTACGGGCAACTCTATTGGTTTTATGTGCAGCCTCATGTTCGCCATCATCTAAATATTACAGCACTGGATACATCAATTCTCAGAAATTCACAGAGCAGGTTTTGACAGTAAGGTCAGATAACACTGTCAACTGTTACCCTTCAGATTTTCAGGTTAAATCAAACACGAACATTCAGCTCGACAGAAACTGAGAGAAAGTTCTGTGTGATGTGCTTTGCTTTCAATAAAGAGGAAGTCATCCATAGATAAGCAGATTGAGCCTAATATCAATTTGTGTCTGGCTCTGCTTTAATACAGGTGTGGTTTGAGAACGCAGTGTGTACTTTGCTTCTCAAAGTTGAGAATTACAGGCTGGCTAAAGAAAACAGCATAAAGTGATCCTACTAAATATTACAGCTCTCTGAGAAGATTCTAGGTAAAGACACATTTTAAGGAAACAAGAACTGCAAGAAAGGACAGCAGCATTGTTGAAGTTTCCTTCATAAACCGGTGCTGTGTTGACGCTCCCTAGCGTCGAAGATAACACTTTGTTGACGTTCCCCGGTGAGCCGAATATCGCATTTTTGTTGACACTCCCTGGTGAACCAGAGCCCATCTAAGGCTGCTCTTCCCCAGAGAGGCAAAGCTCACAGAAGCATTGCAAGCTCCAGTGCATGATTTTAAAAAGGAACATCTGAACTGGCAATCTCCCGTGAAATGCATATATCGCGCTGCCCAGACGGATACACACGGAAAGTGGAGAGTAATTGTACTTCGGATGATTGTTGAAGTAGTTTTGTATTTACATTAAATTATCATTACATTTGTTCATTCATGGTTGTCTGTGAACCACAAAGTGCTGGACGCCCTCCCCAGAATCGCGTCTGTTGGTAAATGTTCTGTTGCATTTTGTATTATTTCTCTGAAATTTAAGAAGAAACACCTTTGATCGAATGATAAATCACAGGGAGAGACTGAGAAAATAGTTTTTTTTTAATTCTTTTTTGATCAATGCAATTGGCCTGAATTTCGTTCCGAACTGCTGAATTTTAACAGTTCCCCTTCTGAAATCCTTCTTTATTAAGCCTCGTGATTAAGTTCAAAGAGCATACAATGTCATTTTTCAAAGCCACAAGCAGTCGAGGCAGTGCGACCACCTGGACTCAGATTTCCCCGTGGGTTAAAGTTTTGCTTAGACACCGAGATAAGGGTTCCACTGGGACTCATACATTTTAACCAAAGGACCATACAATAGAGAAATCAGGGTCAGCTGGTCCATAGAACAATTGGAGGTTAAGGGTGAAATCAGTCTGTTGACCTTCCAATCACAGGCAGAGTCCTAAACCACAGGCCACCCAAGGAAGAGGAATGATGCTGTGAGCAGGAAGTAAACCCACACATGGAATCCTCAATTCCAACACCTTAACCACTCAGCCATCACACATCATCAATGATCTCCGGCCGCCTTGAAGATCTCGTCAGCACCAATGCCACACGTTGATGTAAATGTACGTTTAATATTGATTTACCACCGCGCAGCTGAAAGTCATTTTATTGGACAAGATACGTGATGTATTGGCTCTCTGAAGAACCGCTGTCTCATTTGATGTTCCCCTCAAGATGCTGCTCTCGTTTAAATTACTCTCCTAAAGAGGCTATCAGGATTGATTATGTTAACTACTGACACGTCTCAGAGTAGCTTCTTAATAGCTCCAGAGGTCCTGGCTGCTCGCCGAACAGCGCCCCCTGGTGTTTGTCCTCCATCTTGCCTTCAGTCGAGGGCTCTTCGTTTTTCTGCAGCTGCATGCTGTTAGATCCGCAGATATACTGAAGGGACAAGGCTTCTGGTTGGTGGACAAATCACATTATTGAAGCGCCATGTTAAACTTAAGGTTGGGACTCACATTTTGAGATGATTCGCCATTTTTCCTATCGCTTTGGTAGGGACGTTTATAGACCGTCTTCACAAAAGAGGTCACCTCAAAGCCGTTTACCTCAAGAGCATGTATCATCTTGCTGCCAGCCTCACCTCCCCCCCCCCCCCCCCGCTACCACCTCACCCTTGTTTCTACTCCCAGTCTGTTATAGCCAATGGCGCACCAACTGCGATGCCCTTAAAAAAGGTAAGATGAACTTCATTGATCCCGGGGGAAATTCTGGTGCATACAGTAGCAAGGCACATAAAGTTTAGACAAACAAACATATAGTGCAAAACAAGACAAAGTGCAAAGACAGTATTTATTTATATTTAGCTGGTGGTGCTTTTTTCAAAAGCAATGTACGCATATTTGAGGAAGCAGGGTCAGACAATTCCTGGAATAATTAGGGGTTCAGGCCCTCGCTCAGGGGCCCAACGGTGACATCACTCTGCCGACCTTGTGACCTGAACTGACAAACTTCTAATCACAGGTACGGTGTCCTGACTGCCCCGGTACACATAGTGCAAACAAATTTTAAAAGTACACAGTACATAAACAGAACGTCCTAAAAAAGCAAATAAATAAACACAAATAAAAACAGCACCAGACTTTTACTACAATCTGAGTGGGATTCCTCGGGGAGGCATTTTGTGGTGGAATGGATAAACACAAATAAACTTCAATAAAGAGAAACTGGTAGGTGTTCAGGGCAACTTCCGATGAGGAGTAGGCTATTACGATTCACAGGGAAACCATTGTGAACTGAACGTGTTTTTGTAAATTGCCATTTGAGACTTAGTTAAACTAGTGTGAAAATGAACTACAGCAGATTGAATTCCTTCTTTATTAAGCATATAATTTAATCAGAGAGGTGTTGCTCAAGTTGTTCATTTGAGAGCAATTGCAGGGGGAGTCAATGAATCATTAATGATGTGAAAATAAATCAAAATTGCGCAATGTCTGAAGAGCGTGATTACTCCTATTTGTCGGAACGAGATCACAGAGAACATCCTGCTCATTTGTCCTGAATGACTGCAGCATCTGTTCTCTCTTTCCGCTGTGTTGTTTTTTAATCACAACAATAAAACAACACGACTGCCAGCCAAAATAACATCTAAGCTCTACCCGCCAAGGGCACGGAGGGAGCAGTGCACTGTGGGTCACTCCTAAAGTCACCACGGTTGTGTGGTATCTGACAGACTGATATGATGCTGGCTGAGGTTTCTGGGCTTAGTACATGAGAGATGGCACACGTAATGCTTGAGCTGAAGTTCAGTGGTTGACCACCTCCTGCTCCTTTCTCCTGACCTGGGCAGTTGGCAGGACTCCTTTGCTTGTCATGGGCACGGGGCGTGCTGGAGGAGGTGACAGTCTGAGGAGGTGACCTGTGAAGCCACCTGGGCCACCATCCGTCTCGGCTCATGGCTGCGTCAGGCCTCATTAAAACCTGTGTTATTCAAATCGAACTCTGGGATCACAGACGGTGTCGCATCTGAAGTTGTTTACTTAGAAAGAGCAGCCAAAGTGAGATGCACATTTAAGTGAGCACTCTCCTTGTTAGGAGACAAATCCTACAGATCGACCAAAAAACAGAGCGAAAGACAATGAATCAATACTTGCTTTGTGCGTGATTGTGGCTGGCGGAGATGAAGCTCTGGAATGTGAATCCTCTTGTGCTCTTTCAGAAATTCCACGTACTGCATGAAGGTGTCCATGTCCCTCACCGTGGAGGAGAGCGAGGAGGGGCTGTGCTTCAGCAGCCGCATCCGGCACGTGGAGAAGGCCGAGATCACCAAGAGCAAGATGATCACCTGCCCAGATATTGAGGATTACCTGGCCCCATACAAGCAGCCCCGGATGACCTGGTACAAGGTAACCCACACAGTTACCTGACTGGACTCTGGGAGAGCATCATTCCCATAACGTATCCCTGACAGGAATAGAATAGAATAGAATACTAATACTTTATTCATCCATGTAGGGAACTACACCTATCCCATCTCTGCATGAGACACACAGACATATATACAGTTTAGAGCAAGACAAGGGGTCCAGGAGAGGGTCGTCCAGTGCCTCTGGAGAAATTGGGGGGTTAAGGGTCTTTCTCAGGGGCCCAACAGTGACATTAGTCTGCTGGTTATGGGAACTAGACAGCATGTGGTAGTAAATATATGCAGGAGAGTTGTCGGTGTTTATCCTCTGTTTATCATGATTACAGGTGCTCTTATCCAAGGCAAATTATACAACATAAAAGAAACACACTTACCTACTTATGCACTGCAGAGGAAAGGCAGTCAGGCATCATTCAAAGGCACAACAGCTTGTCCCCCAGGGAGCTGGGTATGTTACATGTGACCCTGGCACTTTCAGGAGTGCCAGAAGAAGCAGTGGAGGAGCTCCATCATGGTGAACACCACCCATGTGTGGATCCCCGAGGTGCAGGAAGACGATGGAGGGAACTACACCTGCGAGCTCCAGTATGGCAGCAGGGTGGTGAGGAGAACCACCGAGCTCAAAGTCACAGGTAGTCCACCAACGTCTCGCTCAAGAAAGGGAGGTTCGCTGGGGAACAGGACCAGGGGCTGTACCTGCTGACCTGGAACATCTATACTATGGTCTGTCGGAAGTCAACTGGATAAGCTGGGTATTGTTATTGTGCTGTTTGCAGACCTCGGTGAAGATCCAGGAGGGTTGGTGTTGACCAAACACCACTAATCCCCTCCTTGTCTCACGCGCATTTGTCCCCATCCAGCCTCTATCTCTCACTCCTATCTAAGACCACCTAAGGTAGAGATGCTCAGTCCCTTCAGGCCTAAGATGATGACTTAAACATTTGTATCACACAGGGACAGTCTAGGCTTTGGGAGATTTTTCTGGAAGGTTCTCTTAGGTCCATCTTAGTATGGGTGGTCTGGCAGAGTGATTTGAGGTAGCATTGATGTCCGTCAGCTCATGTCTTCCCCAATCTGCTCCTCCTCACAAACTCAAAGACCAGGATCCCGGTCCAGCTGCTCTGATCTGTTGAGGGGGAGGTGGATGATCACGAGTCAGGAAAGTGTCACAGAAGGTCAGTGACACCCCCATCACGGACACAGTCTTGCCAGGGAGCAGAAGTGTCAAACTTGGTGAACCGGCAGGTTTCTCCTCAAAAACATGAACTGAAGCCCTCCTCTTATCTGCCCTCTCCGTCGTAGCCACGGTAACCCATTCCAATTGCACTCCCCCACCAGCCTCCCCCAGTCAAATTCTGAGGTGTCATTTTGCCAGAAAGATATCACGGTTCACCTATATTGCCACGCGGGCGGGTTTACGCTGAGCCAGCACAGAAACGGCCATCAGCAGAGAAAAATGAGGCCAGCCCCCCTAGATGTGTTCCTAGGTAAAATGCCCCCGTTCAGAAACAAAAAAAAAAACATTGTACTGTGGATAAATTTACCACCAATTCCAGACTCGGCGAGAGGTGAGCAATCAACTCTGCGGGAAGGTCGCGGCACATCTTTGCTGTCCAATCAGCCAGCGTCGCAGTGCGCCAAAGACGTGTTTACCCCTCACCAGAGGGGGCTGTCAGCACTGACTTCCTAGGACACCCTCCCACGCTTTGCTCTGGACCCCAACACTCCACACCATGGGCGCTCTAGAACTGCAGAATGACTTCAGTAAATGTTTTACTATACGAACAGAATAAACGTGCATAAAGACATCAGCCATGCACTATAGACTAGAGTCCCAACGTCAGTGAGGAGTGTTTTACAAACCAGGGCTGCTGCGCTGTATTCACGGGAACCGCATAAGCTGGGACACGCAAAGTCACGGATTAATTATTTGATTAGTGTCCCACCGTTATGCCTGATGTCTTCAAATGGCCTGTAGATAAAGCGAGATAAATAGCTGTGAATGCACCATCTGTAAACCCCGCGGACCGTACCATCTGGACATTTCGAGGGGGGTGGAGGCGAAGGTGCGGGGACTCAGAGGGCAGAACACCGGACGCATGTGAGAAGCGCTTGGACCCACACTCCCATTAATCCTTCTGTGTCGTTGCCTTCACACAAGTGCTTCCTCGTTTTGTTTGTGTGTTGAGCCCTTCCCTCCCAAATTCTCACTGCTTAATCTTGAAGGTAATTGCATAAACTATATGGACAAAATATTGGTACACACCTCTTAATCACTGAATTCAGGTGTTTCATTCAGACCCATTGCCACAGGTGTATAAAATTATATACCTGGCCATGCAGGCAGGTTTACAAACATTTGTGACAGAATGGGTTGTTCTGAAGAGTGAATTCAGGCCTGGTACAGTCATAAGATTCCACCTTTGCAGTATGTCCATCCATCCATTTTCTAAACTACTTATCCTTCTGGGTCATGGGGGATCCTGAGCCTATCCTGGAAGCTATGGGCACAAGGTGGGGAACAACTCAGGATGGGG